TCACACGTGCAGACTGAGAAATCCAAAAGAAATCAGAGTAAGAGTTTACATGCACTGAGAAATCTGATTACTGAGCTAAAATCCAGCCTCTTTGTCTGATTTCTTAATCAGATTTCTAGATTGGAGTATGGTGTTTACATGACCATTTGAATAATCAGATAACTGCAGAAATCTGATTATGATTGGATTTTTGAGAGCATGTAAACACACTCAGTGTTTACTGCCTGTTTAGCCAAAGTGCACACTTGATGGACTAAATTAACAAACAAAGTCTTTTACATTTTTGTCGTTTTCTAATAGACAAAATATCCAGCTGTTCGTTAAAAATGTGAGCATCTTATGATGAATTTACCAACAGAAACAGTGCAGATTTATTCAGAATACAATCCTACATAAACTACTATTATAAATTAAGAATGTTTTTTCCGTCTCCTGTAAGGTTGCTGAGTCTTTTCTTGATAGCGGCGCCATCAAAGCAGCGCACTGACTCACGTTTATACATCATAAATCATCGCACAGTTCAGCCAAAGATAAACTGGGCGATTATGATTGTGCGTCTCTAATGATTACAGCGTAAAGACCAGCCTGAGAGTGCGGCCCATTATAACTAAGAGTATCTGTAGATAAGGACATGTGGATGGATGGAGGGATGTGTACAGATGAATGAATGGGAGAAGAGGGTGATGGACAGGTGGATGGATAAATGGAGTTAAGGTGGATGTTCGGATGACTGGACTGACAAATATAAGGGCCAGTTATGGATGGATAGTGAAGGATTTGTCAGCACAGATTCACACTTTTCATACAACCTCACTGGAAATCAGCATCGTACACAATATTCCCATATCGGCGTATTTCCATTCACATATGATTTATATTCTGTATCGGCAAGTTTCCCACAAGCATCACAGCACGACGATGATTTTTAAATGGTAGAGCGAGCATCACTCTGAACACTCTCTCTCCTCATCGGTCTTAACACTGAGGTGCTTTAGGGAAACTGGTCCCCGTTTGTTTCAATGGGGAAATTTACAAAAACATGGTAAAATAGTGAAAATTAAAACAATTATTTTCATTTATGAAGCAGCAAAATGTCATTTGACCAGGGCTGCCCAAACTTTTGCATACATCAATATTGTTCATGTACATATCTGCAGTTATCGGCATATAAACATGTTTAAAATGTAGAAATTGGGACTAAATCGACCTGTATCTGTATTAGAATTAGAGAAATATGATTTATTGGTAGAAGGTTATAAATTTAGTAAAATGAATAAAATGCAGATGTTTTAGTGCAACCAGCATCACCTAAAATAAATACATCATCAAATATCAGTTTGAAAAATTCCAAACATCTGACCAATGCTGATCATTTTTGAAAGCAATTATCTGCCAGTAAAGTTCAGCTCCTCACTGCTGGGATTTATATGCCTTCAAAGATGGGGGAAATTATTTATCACCCCCCCCAATTCTTCAGTGATATGAAGCTGAAGTCAGATATTCGCCAGCTTCTTGTTCTAATTTTCTTGTTCCACCTTAAATGGTGCAGCAGTTCTGATACTTGAGGTGCTGAAATGTATCTGCTGCACCATTTAAGGTGGAACAGGAAATTTAGCTAGCTGACTACTAAGACATCAGCAAACTACTAACGATTTTTTATGCTTGTTATGAAGAAAATGACCATAATACATTGAAATGACATTAAACTAAGATAAAACAGTGGTTATCGTAATTTTTAACAGAGAAATCTGTGTATTTCTTTGGTCTCTTGTTCAGCCATCTTGCCAGTTTTTATTTTTTTTCTCTTAATGCTCTGTTTGGAGTCTGAAAAATCTCCGTTTGGAGGGCCATGTAGTCCTAACACTTCACCCTACCCCTCTATCTCAACAAGAATCAGGACACCCTACACCTAGACGTGAACACGCAATAAGGGAGGGGTAGGGCTAAGTGGTAGGGGCGAGGGGTAGAATAGGATTAGGCCCAAGTCACACCATATACCACCAAACAGACCACAGTTCATTAACCCTGGGCCAAGCGGAGGGGGGGTTGCTGGGGGGGCGGCACGTGGCACAGCTAGGAGTTGAACCTGAAATCCGTGGGCTGCACCACTTTTACAGGGTGCTTCCCTCAGAGGCTTCAAATGCTTCTTGACTCTTCCTCCAGTCTTTGTTCTTCACTGAATGAGTGTCATGTCCTTCCATCCCAACAGGAGGCTCTTGAATTAATTCTGACGCTCTTTTGTTATTGGAGCCGTCGTTGCTTTAATGAAGGCTCTTTAAAAACATAATCAACTGCGCTTATGAATAATGCATCGCTTTAAAGCCGCACTCTGCCAGACTCTGCCAGGCTGAGTAATGCTCAGTTAGAGCCACTCGTGTAATTAAAAACACCGCACTCACAGCCAGCGCCGCTCATTGAAGATTTAGCACGTTTATCGTGAGAAAATAGCGTCCAGAGAAGGACGAATCAGAGCAGGACGCTATTCAGTACATTACAGTAAGATTCAAGCAAACAACGTCTACGGCTTTGAGCTGTTGCTTCGTATTGTTTGGGTAACACTTTACTTGAATCCATCTACATGACATTAACATAATCATGCCATGAATATGTCACGGCAGACGAATTATGTCCAGTAATATAACAGTTATATTACCGTTGTTATATTATCTTAGTTGGTGTAATAGATGTCATAACGTTTGACGGCATGATGGCGAACTACAGTACACAGCAAAAATTAGCATCTGACGTAAGCTGTAATAACATCAATTATAGCATCTGCCATGACGGTTATGCCAGTGTTATGTTTCAGGGTTCAAGAGTAAAGGAGTGAGTGTAATCAGTGAAGGGAGGCGTGATAGGAACTGCATTAGTGTTCAGAAGGAATCACTGTTTTTAATAGAATTAAAGCAGTTTGGTTTCAAAATGTATAATATGCTCTTCCTGACTTCACAGCTTTGAAATAATTAGAAGGACCCTAAGAAGGTCTAAGTAAATGTAGTTGAAATGTGAAATATTATTATCATTAGACATCACAACATCACACTGTGATGTCATAGAGGACATGATGGAAACTCAGTTCCACTGTGATGTTATAAAGGAGATGATGAAACCTCGGTTCCTTTGTGAAGTCATAAAGGAGATGATGGAACCTCGGGTCCCTTTATGATGTCATAGAAGAGATGGTGGAACATCAATTCTTTTGTGATGTTACAAATGAGATGAACCTCACTATCTTTGTAATGTTGCAAAGGACATGGTGAGATTATGGAACCTCGGATCCTTTACAATGTCATAGAGGAGATGATGGAACCTTAGTTTCTTTACACTGTCATAGAGGAAATGATGGAACCTCAGTTCCTTTGTGATGTCATAGAGGAGATTGTGGAACCTTGGTTCCTCTGTGAGGCTACAAACAGGATGATGGAAATGTCAATTCCTTGTTATGTAGCAGTTGCTCAGCTGCTTTGTGATGTCATAGAGGAGATTATGGAACCTGGGTTCCTTTATGATGTCATAGAGGAAATGATGGAACCTCAGTTGCTTTGTGATGTCATAGAGGAGACTGTGGAATGTCAGTTCTTTGCAATGTTAGACAGGAGATAATGGAACCTCCTTTGTAATGTCATAGAGGAGACTTCCTTGTGGTGTTACAGATGAGATGATGGAATCTTGGTTCCTTTGTGAAGTCATAGAGGAGATGATGGAAACTCACTACCTTTGTGATGTCTTAGAGGAGATGACGGTACCTCAGTTCATTTGTCATAGAGAAGTCATAGAGAAGATGATAGAGAACTCCTTAATACAAACCAATTTCAAAAAAGTTGGGACAGATGCATGTTTACCACTGTGTTACATCACTTTTCCTTTTAACAGCACTTAACCCTTAAAATCCCAGGCTTATTATATTCCAAGGCTCATTATTCAGTAACTACAGAGATTTCAGTGCAAACTGGTTGAGCTACTCTGAGGTTATAGAAGTGTGTAATAAAACTTTGGGTCTGCCAGTGGACGCTGGCCATTTAAGGGGTTAATAAACATTTAGACACTGAAGACACCGAACCAGTTTTGAAAGAGAAATTCTTGCCCTTCTTCACTTTTACTTCTCACTGTTTTCACTTCTTCAGCTATGCAACCTTCTTTGCCATACTTGGCAAATGGTATAAATCTTTCAGTCTTAATGGAGCTGAAACACATACACATTTCCACTGAGCATCAGTTCCTTTCAGATGAGCTCAAGCCCAGAGAAGTCGGCAGTGTTTCTGGACATTGTTGAAAAATGACTTCTGCTATGCATAGAACAGACTTTCATTGATGAATGCGAGGAGAAGAAAAGGCACCCAGCGGTGATATTCAGATGGAACGTAAATACTCTTACACATATGCACAAGAATAGAACGACCTAAAGCTCAGTAATAGACTGTTTTTTATAGCATTGCTCCAAAGAACCTATTCTGGCACCTTTACAGCACTGCACAGTTGTCTCTACAGTAAAGGACTAGGGTGGAATATGTATTTTCCTACAAAATCCAACAATTACATTACATACATAAAAATGCATGAATTGCTTTGTGTATGTTCACATTCTTCATAAACAATCGAGTATAAACCACTACTCAGGTCACAACAGGGTGCAACAGTTTTATTTGAAAAAATAAAGTATGCAGAACTGTGTAGAATAGTTATAACTGATGTTTGGGGGGAGGAACATGTCTGAAACCCCTCCTTGTTCCAATCTAATGCCTTATAAATTCACTTCTACTTCCTGCTGTAATAATGACTTATTATCCCAAATGATTTCTTACTTTCTTACGTACTTTCACTTAATACCTCAAAATCTCATGAAAATGGGTTATTTTGAAATACTAAGTCAATATTTTTGAGAAACGTTGTTATTTTGAGATATCAAATCAACATTTGTAGAAAATAAGTCATTATGTTGAAATATTAAGTCAAGATTCTGAGCAAATTAATCATTATTTTTAGATGTTAGGTCAATATTCTAAGAAAATATGTTGTTATTTTGAGGTATGAGGTCAATATTTTAATATGCTGCTGCACAAACAGAAGGAGAGAAAGGCAGACACATTTTTCTCCTCTACGTCTTTCACAGTTCTCTGTATAAACACTTGTCTAAAAGTGAAAAGAGACAGAGCGAAAAGTTTGTGTGTACATGAGAGAGAGAGAGAGAGAGACAGACAGAAAGAGAGAGGGAGGTTCATAAAACAATGTGACTGAGGCTTTTACAGTAAGATGATAATAAAACAATGAATGAGTAAATTACAGAGATTTAGCAGAGATAAGAAGTAAAGAAGTAAAAGAATGAGAGAGAGAGAGAGAGAGAGAGAGAGTTAGCGCTAACGTGAGATTAGCGTCCTGCTCTGTGGCTGTTTGTTTGTACTGCTTGCTGAACTTTAGCTGCTCTGTTTGTGGTCGTGTGCCGTTTCTCCCGACTGCTGGAGGAAGTGCAGAGAGGTGCAATCAGTTATTAATTAACAGACGAGCTGAACGTGATGAGAAGTGTGTCACGGTGCTGGTAAACAAAGCCATAAGCGAGGTGGAGAGCGGCAGCGTGGCCAGAGGCTCCGCTAACGCAGCTACTGACCCCGTTTTCCCTCCTCTTTCTCACAGGCCCCTAATCGAATGAAGAACCTGCTCGGGAACGTCGCTCTGTGGATTTTCTTCAGGACCGTTTGAATAAATCAGCGACTGGATCCCGTGAGTAGCACAGCTGCTGTTTTAGTTCACTTCTGCCAGATAGTTGTCAGGGTCGAGCGGAAAATGTGAGCGAGATGTGAAATGTGGGCTGACGCTTGGGAGCAGTTGTGACTGTTAAAGCTTCGGTCAGTAATGTGAAGTGTAGATAGCGCTAGTTTGACTGACCTTTGACTGGCTGGCTGGAATCTTGTGGTGTTTTAGCTGGAAAGAGTTGCACTGAGCCATGACTCGCATGACACAGGCATTTCTGTCATTCAAACCAGCGCCCCCTAGTGTGAGCAGCACTAGGTGCTGAATAGAATATTAGCCTTTATATTACTTACCACTAGCAAATCAGTATTGACTGTTTTTTATTTTAAGTCCAAATTTGCATAATAAACATCTTAAAGAATGAATAGGACAAACAATTTTTAAAAATGAATAAATAAGATGATGTCGAAATGGGCTGATGCTTGTTTATGCAGTATTCGCGGGTGGTTGTTATTGTTTTACAGATTTTCTATACTTGGTCTAAATCTTTCGTTTTATGATCTATGGTCTTTAGTTGTTCTAGATATGCTGAAGATAACCGGGAATGTAATTCAGTGGCGTAATTTGTCGTGATAGCGATATCGTTATTGTTCCCCGCCCTGGTCAGAAGGTGAGTGTGCTCGAGTTGAGAGCTGATGTGGTTCCTGCGTGGAATGGTACACAAATGTGAACTGACTGTTTGACCTCTTTGCACTGTGATGTCACAGAGGAGACGATGTCATAATGTTTTTTTGAGTGAAGATGAATCACTTCACAAAATAAAAAAATGAGAACTGACACAAATGAGAACCAGCAGAACTTACAGTTTCAGTTCTTGTTCATTAGAACTGTAATAGCAGTTTAACTGTTTGTTTGGGCCTTTTTATGCCACTCTAAAGTGGCTAATTTGGCTAATTAGCCACTTCGCTTGCCAAGTGTTAGCTTAACTTATTGGCTGATATGAAGTGACATTACTATTCTGTGTGCAGACATTCCCAAACATGAGTTACACAACCTCCCTGTCAAGCGTGAAAATATAAGCACTCATTCTTTGGATGCTAGCATCAGAATTAGCTTCCTGACTAGCTTAGCAAACTCTTCACAAAGTATTAACTCTAAAATTAGCAACTGGCTCAACAACATACCTTTCTAGTGTCATTCTGGTGCATATACTGGTGATGTAGTAGTGCTTGGCGACTATATTTTGACCTGTTTGCACTTTGATGTCATAGAAGAGATGATGTCATAATGTTTTTTTGAGCGAAAATGAATCACTTCCACTGCACATCCAAAAATGACTAACACAAATGAGAATCAGCGGAACTTACAGTTATAGTTCTAGTTCTCGTTCATATTTCCATCTGCTTGAGGGAACAACTGGAGCTGTAATAGCAGTTTAACTGTTTGTTTGGGCCTTTTTATGCCACTCTAAAGTGGCTAATTTGGCTAATTAGCCACTTCGCTTGCCAAGTGTTAGCTTAACTTATTGGCTGATATGAAGTGACATTACTATTCTGTGTGCAGACATTCCCAAACATGAGTTACACAACCTCCCTGTCAAGCGTGAAAATATAAGCACTCATTCTTTGGATGCTAGCATCAGAATTAGCTTCCTGACTAGCTTAGCAAACTCTTCACAAAGTATTAACTCTAAAATTAGCAACTGGCTCAACAACATACCTTTCTAGTGTCATTCTGGTGCATATACTGGTGATGTAGTAGTGCTTGGCGACTATATTTTGACCTGTTTGCACTTTGATGTCATAGAAGAGATGATGTCATAATGTTTTTTTGAGCGAAAATGAATCACTTCCACTGCACATCCAAAAATGACTAACACAAATGAGAATCAGCGGAACTTACAGTTATAGTTCTAGTTCTCGTTCATATTTCCATCTGCTTGAGGGAACAACTGGAGCTGTAATAGCAGTTTAACTGTTTGTTTGGGCCTTTTTATGCCGCTCTAAAGTGGCTAATTTGGCTAATTAGCCACCTTGCTTGCTAAGTGTTAGCTTAACTTATTGGCTGATATGAAGTGACGTTCTGCACTATTCTGTGTGCACACATTCCCAAAAATGAGTTACGCAACTTCCCTGTCAAGTGCGAAAATATAAGTAATCATTCTGTAGATGCTAGCATGAGAATTAGCTTCCTGACTAGCTTAGCAAACTCTTTGCGAAGTAATAAATGAATAAAATAATAAAATAGCAATTGGCTCAACAACACTCCTTTCCAGTGTACATTCTGGTGCCGTACTGGTGATGTAGTAGTGCTTGGTGTCTTTATTCTTACCTGGAAGGGTAAAGATTTACAGCTGGGGCTAAATTGTTCTTAGCTTTAGCTGCAAGTTTTATCAAAGACAATAGATCTAAATTCAAGTAGCATCATGTCCTACTGGTGATCTCGAGCAGCTACCAAAAACAAAAATTGGCAAAAAAGCACAGTTGTAGTTTTTATTATTACTTGTTCTAGCAGTGGAAGCATCTTAGGAACTTTTAAGAAAATAATAACACAACTGGCGTGTCCTTATTAAATAGGACTCAACATCAAGAATGCTGAAGTGTTTATATGAAGTGGTAATGTTTGTTGGTGTGGTCAGCGTTATGGCTTGTTGGCTCACAGTGGTGCAGGTTTATGGGTGAACTGATTCCTTCTGGCAGGTTATGAGGAAGTGATTGTTTATGATATTCTGTAAATGAGCCGTTATGTGTTTGTGTTTGAGAGCGAGCGATCAAGGGCATGTGCGGTCAGGTTAACCTCTACGTTGTTGTTTTTGAGGGTGGCGTCTGTGTGTTTTATGCCTGGGCGTGTTAATATTCTGAAAGTTTGTATTTTCTTTTTCAGTCACTCGTTACGCTGCGTCCATAGAGCTCGTGCCAGTGTGAGTCTTTATGTGTGTAAACTAACCTGAATGGTTTTTTTGCAGTGCATGGGCGGAGTCATGTTAATTAGCAGGTGAATGCTTTGACCAGTGTCTGGACATTGATGACCACTCATGTGGAATCTGCCCAGAACTAAGCTTGACCTTAAATCTGTGATTTTACTGATATGACTGACCAATCTGGACTCTTTCTTACATTCTTGTTTGGAGCAGCGCCTCTTTTGGTTCCAATGGGCTGTTCTCTAGAGTGAAGGACCTTTTTGAAAGTTAAAGTTTAGAGAACGTTGACGATATTTAAAGGTTCTGGAGGTTCTTAAAAATAACAAATGTAAGTGCCACTTCTGTTTTAACCTTTGTAATTTGCTTTTGTGGTCATACACTCTTGAAAAAAGAGTGGGTTCTTTGAGTGATGGCATAGAAGAACTTTTGATTCCTTGAAGAACCTTATATGAGCGTGAAGAACCTTTTTAAATGCTTAAAGAAACCTTCACATAATAGTTCTTACCAATATAACGGTCCTTTCTAGAGCCTTTTACATTATGTAGGGTTTCTTTAAGCTTTAAACCAGTTTTTTTACACTTGTTTACAAAAAGGGTTCTTTAAAGAAGCATCCAGAGGGAACCAAAAGTGGTTTGAGGAAACAAAGAACCCCTTCTGGAACCTTTATTTTTAAGAGTGTCCATTGTCACCTTTGTAGCATGTAGACATTCGCAACTTAGAGAAAACTTTGATGGCAGTCACAAAAATAAAGGTTCCTAAATGTTTCTTGCTTTGGATGAAAAGTTCTAGCAAAAAAACATGAATTGATGTAGAATGTTTACATTATACAGAAGTCCAGAGAGGCCATGAGTTGTTGCTATAATTTTCTGGATTGTTATCTTGAGATCACAAGATACTTAACTCATTATCTCAAGACAACAACTTTGTTATCTTGACATCACAAGATACTTAACTCATTATCTCAAGATAACAACTTTGTTAATATGACAACACAAGATACTTAACTTGTTATCTCAAGATAACAACTTTGTTATCTTGACATCACAAGATACTTAACTCGTTATCTCAAGATAACAACTTTGTTATCTTGACATCACAAGATACTTAACTCGTTATGTTAAGATAACAACTTTGTTATCTTGACATCACAAGATACAAGATAATTAACTCATTATCTCAAGATAACAATCCAGAAAATTACAACTACCCCATGGCGTCTCTGGACTTCTGTAACATTGTGTGCAGGTTGTTTAAACTTCAAAAACCTTCTTCACACTCGCATTTTTCAAAAGTAGTTCTTCAGAGAACCATCCGCTGGGATGTTCTTTAGGGGACCAAAAGCGGTTCTTCTATAGGATCTCACGAAGGAAAGTTTGAGGGCTGTCAGAAACATAAGGGTTCCTTGGCTGAAGTACGGTTCTAATTGGCTTAGAACATTTCTATTATGTGGATTCACGCTTGCTCGCCTCATTTTTCAAAAGTAGGTCTGTAAAGAACCGTCTGCCAAAATGTTCTTCGGGGAATTAATGGTTCTTCTGTGGCTTTGTTCCAAAATACAGTTTTTTTTTTTGTAAATAGTGGGCGTGGCTTCGGTTGGTAGTCCTTCTTTGCCATGTTTGCAGAATGGAGTTGTCAATGGCAGCCCGAGCTGAGAGCAGATGTGGCAGCTTTCTGTCCATAAATTTTCGGACAGTCCTCCATTACTGAGTGAGGATGAATCCAGGTCAGGTAGTTTTCGCTGGAGCAGCTCATGATGACTCAGAAGTGACTCAGTCAGGACGCCTGCGATATCCGTTTTGCCGGAATTCTGGCAGCTTTGTCTGATTGTCATGGGTAAAATCAGGAAGCGGCAAAAATCTACACTTCTTAAATACATCCTAAAAATCATGGTTCCAAAATGGTTCTTGGTTTGATAATGTGGTTCTAGGAAAACAACATTGATACAGAACCTACATCATGTGGAGGTTTGAAAACACTTTATTTGGATAGTCCACTTCAGATGATTAGTAAATACTTAATTTACTCTAATCCTAACCCTAACCTTAACCTTAACCCAAAGCCTAAGCCCAACACTGACCCTGGTCCAAATCCTAACCCTAACCTTAACCTT